GTGTAGGGATCTCAAGAACGGCACAATACCGTGTAACAGCTATACGAGTTTCCCATTAAACTTACATTTCTTCAACAGCATGTACAAAAACATTTTCTTTGCCGCTACTTAGTTCTATCTCTCTCTCTCAAAATGCTTGTATGTGTATATAAATTTTGTTTTAGTTGGCTCAGTCATAATTTCAGTTGGGATATTGAGTTCTATGGATCAGTTTTTGAACTACGCGCAAATAAGTATGATAATCAACGTGTTTCAACGACGTAATGATCGGATGTTAACCAACTATTTGATCTTAACTAGTTACAAGACTTGTTACCCGATTCGTAGTGTTTGGAAAACTGGTAAAACAGGCCGCTTAGTCAACGTAAAATAATCCGTTAAGTCATCTGTACAGCCAGCACATCGAACGGTTTAGGAAGTATGGAATACATATTTTGTCCACTCAAATAATCCGTTTGGTTAATTTATGAATTTGCTTGAAATTCAGTTAACTAAGTGGGTTAAACTTCTTTACTCATTTGCTAAATTATTGAAAAGAAAGTTGAAACGAGCTTCAAATTTTACATGTTGAAAAATAGCATAATTTATATTTTTGAATAAAATTCCAAAAAGTAATTCAGTAATGTAACTATTGATATAATTATTTTTTAAAGTTAGCAGATGGGCCTAGTTATTCCATGCTAGATTGACCAATACTTAAAATTTTACATGTTGAGAATTAGCATAATTTTTATTTTTGAATAAAATGCCAAAAAGTAATTCAGTGACAGAGACAAACATCACATTTATACTATGGTGGACAAAAGCAAACATACATTCATCAATATAAAGTTTCGGATCGGCCAATGGGGAAGTGATATACTGGATAGAGGATAATACATCACTATTTGATTGTCATTATATATCAATCTCATGCAGATGTTTGATGAGTCCCTATTTCGCTTTACCTTTACCCTTTCCTTGACCTTTCTTGGCATCTAACTTGGCTTGCACACGTGCAGCAGCAGCTGCTTTTGCCTCTTCCCTCTTCTTCTTCTCCTCCTCTTTGGCAGCAGCAGCTAGCTCTCTCTGCTTCTTCAGCTCGCTATTTTTTTTAACACAAGACATCATGTTATTATTGCTTTCCAATAAACAAGAGACATCCAAAGCAAATTTTGGACAGTGCAGAAGCACAAAAATTTGGTAAAATAATAAATTTTACTTACTCTAGCCTAGCCCTCTCCTCTGAAACACTTCCCAGACTGGAGCCCTTCCTTGGCCGACAGGCAACTAGCTCAACTTCAAAAACAAGGGTTGCACTGCAAGGAAATTCAAAAATTATAAATTCGCAGTCACTGGTAGATGCAAGTTCTTATGACTAGAAAAAAAAAAAAAAAGTAGATTAGTAGAATAGAGAACAAAGCAAAACATTAAGGTAAGTGTTGGAGTGTTGGACCCAACATGCAGGTCTACAGAGAGTAGTAGCCTTGCATTTGCCAAAGGCTAATTTAATGAGTAAAAGGGTTCTGATAAATGGCCCCTCCTCAAGCCATTTAATTTTCCTAAGATTTTTGTTTAACAATAAATTTGTTTCCAAACAAATAATTGTGTCATGAGAATAGTACTCTGGAGGAATATCTGGAGGAGATCCTGCACTGCCATATGCATATTCTGGTTTGCAAGTTATTTTTGCAACTTCTCCAACCTGGCAAAATTAGTAGATAAACATGAGATGAAAACCCTGATTTAAATACAGTTTCAACAAAGTTTGCTTTGTTAGACCTTCATGGTTTTCACTGCAATTTCCCAAGCCTTGATAACACTTCCTTTTCCAACCTCAAAAGAGAAGACAGTGTTATCTTCATGCGTAGTGTCAAAAACTTCACCAGTATCAGCAAGTGTGCCTTCATAATGAACTGATAAACATAGACAATTTGAAACAAGAATCAGTAAATTCAAGCACCTGACGCAAATAAACCTTAAAACTCATCTAATTGGAGAATCAAAATTTAGTGTCCGTTTGAATAAACTTCTCAACAAGTATTCTTAGGACAAAACAATAGAATGAAATAAGGAAGAAAAAGGAATCAAACTTCTTGCTTAAGTTAAAATTAACTTATGAACCTCAGCTTTTTCAAAAACACATTCATCTATATTCTCCAATTTCCATAAGCACTTATTAACTCGTAAGGGATGTTTTGTAATTTAGGAATAAAGAATTTTTCTCAGTCGAAAAGCTGCAATAAGCTAAAAAGTAAAAACTAATCCAAGGTCGGCCTTAATATATCTAAACCCTTCCTTGTAAATATCCTGATATTTTGCAATTCCAACCCACTGTATCACATCCCAACATGCTTTTTCTATAATACTCTAAAATAGAGTGGACCTTGATACAGAGATACCCGTGAAATGTAAATACTCATGAAGATAATTACTTTTTCACAAATAAGGGGAAATTACATTAACATCCAAGTAAATTATAGCAAAGTATCATGTATGTGTTTTAGAACTGAAAGCAAAGGTGAAGACAATATGATAAGCTTTAAACAAAAATATTATATGATTGATTGGTTAACAGATGAGAGACAAGAGGTATCCATTTTTCTTCTGATAAGAAGGTAAGATAAATAATAATTGGAATGACTTCTACAGCACATTAAAAGACAACAGTCATTTTACTAGATGAAAAATACAACAGAAGTATGTAGCCATACTCCAAAGGTGCTGAACATATTGCATCTTGCTTAAAGATTACCAAGTAATATAGTCCAAAACCAGACTAGTTCCAAAATATTCACCATACTAACTACAAGCATACCATCAACGAGAGGAAAGTTTTCTGTTGGACCAACAGCATCAGCTTTGCTTTTTCTCACAACGGTCTTGATGACTCCTCCATCACCAGACAAATCAATTGCATCACCCATGGTGGCACTCTGTTAATATGTTAGAAAAGTTAACAAACATAAACATGGATAAATAGAGCATTGCCTTGCCCCCACGAGGTTGTATTATATGAAGTCATTAAACTCCTGGGAATAAATAGATTTTTAATACAAACAAGCTGCACATCAGACACAAGCATGAATTAAAAAATCAAAATTTAATGGCTACAGTCACTTAAGTTTTTCTATATGAAGTTTTCCACCTAGTGGGAAAAGGTTTTTGTTATTGTAGTCACTGTTATATCTAAGAATTAAACATTTTGATAATGTGATTCCAATTATAAAATCTTCTACTTGTCTAAATGTTATTGAAAGAAAAATCGATGAATTTCATAACTATGCAGAATATGCATAAAAAAGTATGACCATGGAATATTTGGGCTCATAGTGAAATTGTGGAAATTAAATATTGGAAAACATTCTAGATCCAAAGCTCAAGTACAGAGTTCAATTACTATCTCCAGTTCCAGTTGTCTGAAATGTCATTGCCATTGCAGTGTAGATGTTAAAATTCCCAAGTTTATAATGCATTACTGGAACTATAGAGAAAAAGTATTGGGGGAAAAAAATGCTGGAACAGGACCTAAAAAGGCCTTTCACCTGATAAGATAAAGAGTCCAAAAGGGTTTAATACTTCATTTCAGTATAGAAGTACAACCAAATAACAACTAAACGTCACAGACACAAAAAAAACTCAATCAACAACATTTACCACACAGCGTATAATTAATCAGCACATTTGACAAACAAACATCAGAACATGCAATTCAGATTCCATCACATCGTTTGGCTATCTATTCCCACAAACAACGGTGCAATTCTCCACAAAATAACAACAAAAATAATTTCTTTAACTTCTCCAGATTTCCAGAACCTTCAAATCTGCAAACTTTGCTTATATTTCACAAGACCCATAATTCAAACTTAAAAAGTGAAAATTTCAAACATCAGTAATATATTAAAGTTGTTAGAAATTTATAAATTTTTTACACAAAATGAATCAGAAGCAGAAGCAACGAAAGAGTGGAATTGATTTGGAGACTAACCCTTTTTTCAGGTGAAGGGCGGAACGAAGCGAGTGAATGGCGTAACTGATGAAAGCGGCGAATTTGGGGTGGCCATGCGTTTGATGAAACTCTTTTCCTTCAGAGGTTTTAAGAATAAGCGCCACAGGACAATGACTCCCACGCGCACATATAGCGCGTGACTTAATCTGTTACTCAAATTGCCTTGCGCGTGTTTTACATGTTACAGCGAGGGGCGTGGGGGTAGTAAATATTTTTGTACAGTTGTAATAAATATATGATATTATCTTCACCAAGCGAGGAATATACCCAACACTCTACTCCGTACCGTTTGATCTAGGTTTTCATTTTTTTTATCAATTCTAGGTTTTCATTTTGAGTTAACTCAGTAACTTACCATTTTTTTAATCAGAAAAATATAGTGAAGATTACCTCTATTTATATAATTAAATATAATTAATTTTATTTATAAATAGTTAATAAATAAATTAGTTAAAGTAGATAATTCTCGATACATAACTAATAATATCATAAGTCATGAAATAATTGAAATTTGTAATAATAGTTAACTTTATATTACAGGTTGTTAATAATGTTATAAGGTTGTTGTTTATAGTTAGTAATTAACATATGTATAAATATGGTTAACCTTACCTCACATTTAGTTAACAGTGTTATAAAAATTTTAATCATTACACGTGGATAATTACATAAATGAATATAGTCAACTTTATTGTGCATATAAAAAAATAAATGAACATCATTGCATTAATCATTAATATATAGTTAATAATATCATAAAATTATTGAAATATTTAATGATAGTTAATTTTGTTTCCCAAGTAATTAATAATATTATGAAATTATTAAAATTTTCAATAATTAGAAAATAAAATTAATCATGATTTACATGCGGAATTAAGTACTTAAAGTGGATGTACATTGGATGGACAATTTTTTGATGTATGGTTATTATTACTCTTTTTTATCCATGCAAAAATAATAAATTTTAGTTTTCAAGTTTGTTTCATGCAAGAAAAGAAATTAGTTGATGAAAATGAAAAGAAAAAAAATAAATGAAAGAACACATAGACAAAAAAAGAATAGCGTATATAATGCCTATATATATATATTCGTGAGATTTTTCCACTTTCACAATTAAATATTTTCAAGTCTATGCAAATTTTTGTTTTACTTGTAATTTGGTTAAAGGTTACTTATTATATTCAGAAAAAATAAATTTTATAGGCAAGTATTATTTATTTATTAGCTTAGTCATATTTTACTGTTTGTTTTTATTCAATTAATGATTAGTCAATTTTAGTATTTAAACATTTGCTATAAATACTTTTAAAGTGTAAAAAATTGAATTCATAATTTAAATATATTATATTAATTTTTATCTCTCTTTTTTTTGTGATGTTGTAGATTTTTTAATCTGAATTTTTATATTTTGTTTAGTTATACATCTCTGTTTTTTATATTCTATTTTCAATAAAATGAATGTTTGTTCAGGAAAGGAGTATTTTGCAGGAACTTTTTGGTGAACCAAATCAAATTATTTGCATGGAATTGGTTACACTCTTTGCAACAAAACTTCTAATACACATTTCAACAATGGAACAACTCCTCTGGAATATGTCTGGCTGCGTGGTGATTGACTATATATTGGAAACATTAAAAGTTTGGAAAGTTAATATGCACCACTTGCATAATGATGGGCTGCACGTAACATAACAGAGGGAATGTATCACATTGGATAACAACATCTTGGAAACAAGGTTAGAACATGTGCATGAAAGTATGACCCCGGTTCTTTGAATCAAGTAATGTATGCAGAAGAGGGAATGCATTTTTGTAACAAATGAGACACAAATGTTGTATAATACTATCCCCGATGTAACTCACTCGGTACTTCTAGTACCATTATAATCCATATATAAATATACTCTTTTTTTTTCTGATAATATATATATATATATATATATA